AATTTTTTTAAAAGAAAATAATAAAGCTAAACTAAGTTTGTTGCAGGTGCATCCACTAATTACGCTCAGGGAGTTATGTGTGGTTCATGAAGTTCATTCCGGCAGTATTTGCTTCAACGATAAGAAAGCGGTATTCACTTTTCGGTTCTTTATAAAAAGCTTTTCGCCATTGATCGATCCTTCCCTTCGACGGACACATGACATCACTGAACCGCTCATCTCTTAACTTCTACTATTGTGAACTTGAGGTATTGGAAACGCTGTCTAGCGCGTCCCCTTCCAGAATGAATCAACGGATTCACTGCTGTCAAAACCAAAGCATGGCAGAGGTATTTTTTCCCCCTCAGAATGGCTAAGTTGAAGCTCTTTGTAATGGACTTTGTAAGGTCCTCGTTGTCGCCTCTGGGAAATATTTTGTAAGGTTAAAGAAAACGTGAAATAAATCAGGCTTTTGAAAATTCCCAAATCCTTATTCTACTCCGACATGCGGAAAAAAAGTATGCTAAATAGTATAGATGCAACATGTACAGTATGTTTTGGTTCCCACACCTACTCCATGTGCATCTCTTAGGAAATAAACATGGACAACATGCTTCTTGCGGCATGGTAGAACGTGAAATTTAATTAGTTTCATCTAGTAAGGACTTCCAAGTAACACATTCCAAGCAAAAATTGTTTCATTCCATTATTTGCCTTTGTGACAGAATCTTGAGAAATAAATGGGATTTTCTCTGCTGTTGCTAGGAAAATGACTTTCTATGCATGAGATCTTGACCAGGAAATGATTGCGGTCGCGCATGATCACCATGTCTACGTTGAATCGCGTGATATTCCTTAACTCTAATCCACAAGCCCAGGCGTAAAGCCTAGGCAAAACCAGAGGAAGACAGATGGGCTAGATTAGATATGCTGAAGTGGCCCACTCGTTCAGCATGGAGGGAGTGCAGCCACACAGATCCACTCGAATGCGAGTGAGGTGATATTCGCGCCGGGACAAGGATTACGCTTCAGCTTTGTCTTCATAAGCTGCCTGTTTGTGAAAGGTATAGTTCCATGTTGGATCAGATTCTGACGTTCTTCGTAATTGGGGTATTCGCGAAGCAAACTAGGTTTGCACATGTCCCAGAATCAGGTCGTTCTATCCCTTCTATCATTGCGTTGTGTGTTAGTCTATATCCTTCTCGATGCATTATCTCTATTTAGATATATGGAACATGTGCAAACCCCCTGGAACCAAGTAGCACACCCTTTGTGATTCAACATTGATTTAACGTTTAATGCCAACGCAGCTGATGTTGAAACAACTTTGGCGTGTCAACGTTGATACCATATTGAAAGTTCATTTTTTATCAACCATGTGGAAACGATGACACATAAAGCATATCTATATTGATTCAATGTTAAAAAGGAACATTGCAACGTTGACGCAACATTTCCTTATCAACGTTGACTCCATATAAAAAAATTAATTTCCTTCAGCAACAAAGCAACGTTGAATCCACAATGGTTCCACGTGGAAATGAGACAGATCTCAACGGGCAGTTTAATTCATGCGCATGCGTTATTTTATAGCTGAAGTCCTATTTGAACATCATCTCGACATGGCCTCCATCCTTATAAGTCATTTTTTTATGATTCCCCTCTCCCAACTCATCATGAACTCTATGCCGAGATTAGAGAAAGTCGGAAGCATGGGGACACCGGAGGGATTGCAGTTAGGAAATATCAATAGAATGCTAATAATCATTCCATGTATCCTTCCGTGGGTGCTGTAGGATAAGGGTTGAGATTTTTCTTTCGGGTCAGGGCGAATGGGTCTCAGGGAGTGACATGACCGAGTTAACTTTTTTCTTTGCGTTATCCAGCTCAGAATTACCTTGGGTTTTGTCGGGTTGGGTTGCCACTTTCTTGCAATATACTTCGTACCTTTCCCGGCGTCGTTTCCGGAGCCTTATAGCCTATGCTAAATCGCGAACAGGGAGAATTCTTCATGAAATTGTAAGGAGAAAATGTACTTTTAAAATGTCTCGCAGGGGGCATTGTTTGCTTACTGCGCTCGATTCTTACTTCTAAGGGAGATACGAGGAAATGGAGTCCTATTATGCAGAAAGCACGTGCCATTATCACATTATCGTCATACTTCCTGTGTGTCAGAATTTAGGTCGGGAAATGTCTAAGAAACTCAAGTTCGGACGATTTTACGTGTCACACCCACTTAAATATACAGTCCTCTTGAGATAAAGGACGCTTAGAGTTGAAACATGCTCCGTTGAGTCAACTTTCAGGGAAAGTGTACTTTGGAGCCCTATCTGAACCTTGGTAACAAGACATGTAACTCCGGACACAGTCGAGCACATTTTTAGAAATACAGCGTTCTATTGGTTTGGAAAGAAAGTCTTGCAACACTTTCTGACGAAGCCCTGCGGAACGCCCTCAACGCGAATCCGAACGCCAACATTCGCGAATCGGCGACAACACTTGGAGTCACCCATATGGCCATCGGGAACCATCTGAACGACCTAAATTCTGACACACAGGAAGTATGACGATAATGTGATAATGGCACGTGCTTTCTGCATAATAGGACTCCATTTCCTCGTATCTCCCTTAGAAGTAAGAATCGAGCGCAGTAAGCAAACAATAGTTGGCGTTCGGATTCGCGTTGAGGGCGTTCCGCAGGGCTTCGTCAGAAAGTGTTGCAAGACTTTCTTTCCAAACCAATAGAACGCTGTATTTCTAAAAATGTGCTCGACTGTGTCCGGAGTTACATTGTAGAATGAAATTGCATTTCAATAAAGTTATACAATTTTGAAAAATTTGCGCAGTGTTGCAAGACTTTCCACCCCAATATTTATTCGCACTAGCTATGCTGTGACCCCAAAGTAGTGGCATCATCGCGGTGAGAGGCTGCAATGCAATGGATTATCCATCCGAAGCTGTTGAAAAGACCATCAGGGCTTTCCAATCCATTGAGATGTCCTTGCGGATGTGCTTGCATTCCTTACAGTGGGACACGTCTGCATTAAAATGTGCCCTAACAATTCATCCTCAAATATCGGGGCGGGAAATGGCCCTTAAGTTGGAAGTTTCTTAAAGTAAGCATGCCAACATATACTTGTACAATTTCTGCTGAAAATGTTCTTTGAAAACATGACTCTAATGAAAAATGTTTACCCAAGGGATTTACCAGAATAATTAAAAATTTTTCTGAAATTACCAACTTGAGAGTATCTAGATATACGTGTCTACATATCTATATAGAGTATCTACATATACATATATACGTAGCAATATCCGGTTTTCTATATCCGCCTGATATACTGCAAGATATTACAATTTAAAATATTTCCCCTTCCCTATGATAAATATACCCAGCATATTAATCCAAAAGTAGGGTTTCTCTTTGAATTTACATACCAACAGGTACCTATTTAGTTGGTTTCCGATTTCGGACTCCGTGATTCCCTAGTGTGAAATCATTTTGAGGGTAAGGTCCAATCCTGTTAGGAGGTCCTCCCCAGCCTAATTGCACCTATATCATATTTAAAAAATCGAATGAGATCACCATAGTTCCTGGAGAAAGAGGTAAACGAAGGTCGTTAATGAGAAAAGAACTGGCACTATAGTTCTGCTCACTTATTTTCCGTAACAGAATCGGAACTTTAAAAATGCATAACAGAAGCTTCAGCCTTTCAAAAGACATTTCACGATCATGAAACATCGCAGAAATCTTTAGGCCTTACCATGCTTAAGTTCATTGATTGCATGACGTATAAACCTGACCCATTAATATTGCAATAGTAAATTTCATTGAGAAGGCTGGAAACGCTGGCAAATACTTTTTTCTGCTAAAGCGAATTCGCAAATCTACATCAGATTCTTTGCGGAGACAGTGTAGAGTTTTATTTTTTTAGATACATGATAACCCAATAAATCTATTGCTGGTGCATCCACAATATTATGCTCGGGGAGATCTGTGTGGTTCATGAAGTTCACCCCGGCAGTAGTAGATTCAACGTCAACGATAATAAATAGGTATTACATATTCTTGTCCCTGAGAAGCTCTGCGTCACTGATCTATCCTTCCATGCGATCGGCACATGACATCGCTGAATCGATCATCCCTTCTTAATTTAATATGGCTATTATGAACTTCAGGCATCGGAAACGCTGCCTTGCGCTTCCCTCTTCCAGAATGAATCAATTGTAAGGATTACCAATCCACACATTTGAAGCAAGAAGCCATTTTACTTCATTTCATTATAATTATTTGCTGACAGAAGCTTCAGAAATAATAATTATGATTTTCTCTGCCGCCGCTAGGAAAGAGGGTTTCAAAGCATGAGATCCTAACCAGGAAATGAATTTGGTCGCGAACGTTCACCAAGTCAACGTTGCAGCGCAAGATAAGCCCTAACTTAATCCACAAGCAGAGACGTTAAGCCTATAGGGAGTATCGTAGGAAGACAGATAGCATAGGCTAGATATGCTGGAAAAGCCCAATCCCTATGTATGGAGGGACTACAACCACGTGGATACACTCGAATGCGTGTGGGGTGATATTTGTGCCGGAATAAGGACTACCTTCAGCTCTGTCTTCATGAGCTGCGTGGGTGTTACAGGTATAGTTCCATCTTGGATCAGAGTCTTCACATTCTTCGTACGGGGAACAAACGCGAGACAAACTAGGATTGCAAATGTTCCAAAGTCAGGCCTTCATTTCCCTTCTCTCACTGTATCTTATGTTAGCCTACTCCCTTCTCAATGCATTATCTATATTTATATATAAGAAATACATTTAAACCCCTCGGAAGACCCTAAAGGCAAAAGTTCACTTTCATCCTAACGCTTTGGCCTCTTTCCAAAAAGTGAACTTCAAATTACTATTAAAAAATTGATGTGCTTTACTGGAAAAAGACGTAGCAACTCATATCTTTGGAAATTTGTTACTGTGGTCTTCATCAAAATCACTCATGAGTCATGCCAAAAGTTGTTGTGCCATGGATGTGATTAACATCACCTGCTGCTCACTCCTAAAGTTCCTAAAAGCACGTAACCCTTTTCCCAATCCACTTCAATTGCCTAGCAATTTTGAAGAGAGGGCATATCTCGATTATAATCTGCTGCCACAAATTCAACCCACTGTTCAAACCTATGAGGTATTTCTGATTGCCTTAGGAAGTCCTGCTAATCTGATGAATCATGTTAAACTTTCTGATCTGAGAGAGCAATAGGTTCAGGTTTTTCGGCTTGGGCGAATGAGAGTCTGAAAAGATCTGCCTACCTGAAACTGAGGTAAGGAAAACAAGGGCTAGAAATCATAAAAGTAGGCTTATGTCGAAATGTGTCACTATATCTGAATGTTAGCGTGGGTGCAAGTCTTCCTACGTCCAGTAGCAAGTATTTTGTTTAGTCAGATGAAGTGATTCTAAAGTTAATCCTGCCATGACAACACTTTGCTATTGGCGCCTTTTTCATTATTAGGTAATTTGGTTAATATTGACTTTGGCTGCCCTTTGAACATTGCTTTAAAAAATGCAAATGGACTGTTGTAGGGTTTTCGCATGAATATATGAACTAACCAGATTTCACCTCTTACCAGATGGAGTCCAAGCAGCATTTTGAGAAGAGAGAGGTGAGACATGGAGGATTCGGATCTAGACTCAAGGATTCAATATATCTCGGCAAAAAGAACAAGCACAAGAACGATCTTGAAACGAAGAAGGAACCTCCAAAGCATTCTTGTGATCCACTGGCAACTGGGGTCAGTGATGAAACAAGGGAAACTTTCAACGACATTCCTGACAAAAATTCAGAACAGGTATTGGTACACATTTATCTGAGGAAATGAATATTTAAAAAAATAATATAACTGAACTGCTTTCTTAGGACTTTTCATCCGCATGAATGGAAACGTTCACTAGAGGTATGCGCGCTTTCACTTCTCACTGTAACAGTCGAATTAAGCGCTCGATGGCGTTAAAAGGAACAAGTAAAATGGCCGATAGTGAGGTGAAGCTCAAAAGATCCTTGTTCCGCAATCAAATTCCTGCTGAAGGAGGGTGTGACAGATTGAAGAATTTCCAAACTGATTGTCTAGGCGTGGAATGCTGACTTAATGAATCTGAGTGATGTCCATCCGTCGGTGAATCATTTTTCGTCCGGCGCCACACGGTTTGTGACAAGACATACTCAGGCCGATCGGTTTCTACCCTATTAGCCGTGAATACCGCCAAAATTAAAAGCCTCGACAGAGGCAACCGTCGTATATCGTTTAATGAGATTGCAAGGGAACTCTCTTTTCCCTCAGGACAAGGAATCGTAGAGGATGAAATGCATTGTTATACATTATGCGCACGTCAGCTTCTGTCTGATGTATACGAAGCGAGAGGTCTGGGAGTTTACAGGGACCTTTCAGAAGACCATAAACGTGGATAAGATATTCCTGACAAGAGTCGTTACGTGCGACAAAGGGTGGGTCCATCATTGTGACCATTACGACCCCGAAAGAAGCGCCTGACAAGAGTGGTGTCATTCTAACATACCATGAAAGTCAGGATTGTCCGAACTGTGGGGGAAGGTCACGACGACAGTGTTTTGGAATGCCGACGGCGATCTCCATGTTATTAGGTCGTTAGGTATGAAATTTCCGATTTTTGTGGATTATAGTAAAACACTGTATACATAATGAAAACACTATTTCTTAGTCAAAATATGATCCATTAAAATCAACTGTCTTTTGCCAACGTAATGGAAGGTCGAATATCCCTTTTTTGAAGAATTCCTTTCATTCTGGATGCAATGAAGTCCTCAACTTTCACGCTTGTTTGATTTTTATACTGCTTGTTTAGAAGGAAGTGCTCCAAACCCTGAAAAAGGTGATAATCAGTCGGTGAAAGGTCGGGCGAATGCGGTGGATGAGGCAAAACTTCGTAGCCTAATTCCCTTAATTTTTGAACGGTGATTTGCGAAGTGTGAGGTCTAGCGTTATCGTGCAATAGGATAGGCCCGTACCTGTTGACCAATACTGGCTGCTTAATGCGTAACTGCTCATGCATTTCCTCAATTTGCTCACAATATACAGTAACAGTTATAGTTTGACCCGGTTGGAGGATGAAGTAATGCACTATCCCTTCTGATGTCCACCATACCGTCACCATTACCTTCTTCGGGTGTAAAAATGGTTTTGCCGCTTGTTTTGGGGCTTGATCTTTGTCTAGCCATTGTGCTGATCTTTTCCTAATATCGTACATAATCCATTTTGCATCACAAGTAACGATTCGTTTCAAAAATGGATCGTTTGAATTCCTCACGAGGAGTGAAGAACTCACCTCTAATCGGCCAAGTTTTTGTTTATCAGACAATTCATGAGGAACCCACTTATCAAACTTCACCTTTCCAATTGAAGCGAGGTGCTGGCTTATTGTGTAAGTGGACACCCCTAACTCCTCTGCATGACACCTGACGGTTTTCGTTAGGTCAGCCTCCACTACAAGTTTCAATTCGTCGATGTCTATGAGTTTTGGCGGTCTTCCCCTGGGCTCATTTTGAAGACTTTCATCACCTTTGCTGAATTTTTCATACCACCTGCGAATAGTCCGTTCGTTAGCACTTACTTCTCCAAAAGCAGCATAAATGTTTCTTGCTGCCTGCGACGCACTATGGTTCAATTTATATTCGTATAAAAAAAAGAACACGAATTTCTTGTGAAGAAACCATTTTGAAGTACCAACAAAAGCAAATAACGGTACAATAGAATTAACTGGAAATGACGTTTTCTTAAGCACTTCTAACTTCTTCTAACTCTGTGTAGCTATGATATAATTTTAAGAATTTCTGTATTCACAATCGCGATCACTTGTTAAGTAACCGAAAATCAGACATTTCATACCTTATGACCTAAATAACATGTTCCCAAAGGATGAAATATTCAAAAAAAAAACTTGGCAAATCGGCTTCATGCGGAGATATTCACGTGTGATCAAATGTACAGGGTGGCTACAAAGTCCTTTAACAAGGAAATCACATCCTGTCTTATGTCGTCCTCCGTTTTCCGCACATTGTTTGATCTTTCCCCATGTTATTTTGGACATCATCTTCCACGTGGAAGGCTGAATATCGTGGAAGCAGTCTCCGATGGCTGTTTTAAGGTCTTCAACATTTTTTAGGCTCAGTTGGGACAATTTTTCCTTCACGATTCCCCAAAGTGCATTGTCACATGTCGTCAAGTCTTGGCTGCGAGGTGGCCATGCCATATCAGATCATCGTACAATCTATCGTCCGCTTAACGTGTTATTGAGATATTCTCTACGGTGTGATTTCCTTGTTAAGGGACTTTGTGGCCAACCTGTAGAAGCTACCAGCAACTAAGGTTAACGTTTTTCCGCCGCAACGCGTTGATGGGAGACCGTATTTTGCTAATTCAAAATTCAATCTTGCTAATTAGCCCTCTGCCATTATCTTTTCTGTTATGACTGATAAAGGACTCGGTTCGCGGAACACATTTCCCAGGCAATGGAACGGTGTTTCTGTTATGCTCAAGTTATACTGTGAGTACTTTGTAGTTTACATCTCCTAAATTTCCGGGCATATCCTAAAAAAATATATAAAAAATAGCCATGAATTCTAAAACTTAGACCTATTACAAAATGTATTCTTTTCATGAACACAGAGCATATGTTTACGAACATGAAGAGGGTAACTCGAGAGGAGTCTCTTCTTGGTACATATCTCTCACAAGCTGTAATAAATTCTTAGCTTTTATGAGTTTTCATACCTTCCCATTTCCCCATCAGGTAGAGTCCAGACGACTTGAGGACAAAGGGGTGGCGTCAGGAGGATTGAGAGTGAAAGTGATGGATTCCAAAGATCATGCCAAGGACAAGGAGGAACCTAAGAAGAAGAAGGTGTCATTCACATCTTCTGGTCCACATGGAGTAGAGGTCACCGAAGAAATTGCGGAATCGTTCGACGAAATCACAGATAACAATGAAATACAGGTACGCTGCTGAGTTATGCATATTGCAGTAATCTGGAAGGGGCACTAGGAGGCTGGGAAGCGATATTGAGATGTGAATACAAATCGTCGAGAAAAAGTGGATTAAAATAGTGGTTTTGAGATCGGTCTTTCTACAGGGAGCCCCATTACTCCCGTATGGTTGTAATGATTGGACTGATTGCCTCTTTGAGATGGTTTCCATGAGCTTATTCCCAATGAGTAGCAGAGGAGTCAATGAATACCTATCAAAAGAGGTTTCTCAACGTTCTTTGAGAAGTTTTCTTCCTTTACGTTAGCCTGAGTCTGCAAGGTATGACATAAAAGACGAATATCTTTAAGTGCTTCTCATGATTGCTTAAGTCATATCTCTGCAAATTTGCTTAGGATATAGCCAATTTTTCCCTTTATTTAAAAATCAAAGGGATGCAAAAATTCATTTTATTCAGATAAAAGTTATAAGCGGTGTTATTTCTCATACACGTCTGATATTTGAAATGCACGGTTCCTTTTTCTTAATAAAAAACAAGGGAAATTATGAATTTTGAGAAACTCTGTGGATTGATATTCATATATTCATATATCCATTGGGAATAAGCTAATGAAAACCATCTCTAAGAAACAAACAGCCCAATGAATGAATTAAAAGGGACAAGGAGCTCGACTTAGTTTCGGTAGCTAGGAAAGAAAGCACTCTTCTCCATTCTACTGCCAACAGGAGTTCTTGTCAATTCTGAATGTTTAACTTCTTTTCAAATATTGCAGATAGTATTGCTTCGGCCCAATATGTTTGAGTGAAATTTTAAATATGAGCTGGAAGCATACTAATATATGCAAAGAGAACATTTTCCAGAAATAGCTCTCTGCTGAGAGGTCGAAAGTAGTTGGTCATATTTTTTGTCATACCTTGTATATTTGAAGCGATATCTCATGGTTTTTATTTATTTATAGGTTCTTACTTCTTTTCAGATGGGGTCTAGTCCTCAAGTTGAGGAAATAGCGATGAGACCGTGGGGATTGGGACTGAGAGCGACTGATTCAATTGTTCTCACCAGAAAGGTGAAGAAGGAGCCAATCAAACCTTTCAGAGATCCACTTTAACGAACTTTCTGGCTCTCTTGGTCTCAGATACCTGTGGTATCAATCCTCATGAAGACATTCACCAAAATGCATATACCAATACACATATACCAGAATTTAAGCCTATATTTATTTGAAAGTATTAGCACGTCTGTGGGTAAAGGAATGCTGCACACTACCGTCCTGTCCATGGACTGGCAAGTGGAGTCGTAAAGTGCGAACTATGAGGATTGTAAAGGTGTGATGAAAGTACAACAGATAAGACGCATGCTTTATTCAAAAAGACAGGCTCATGAGAACTTGCATTCTTAATTGGGAGATTCTCAGGGTTCCCGAGTAGAGGTTAAGAACTTCATTGACATCTGATGAATTTTACGAGAAAATGACAATAATGAAAGACAAGCAAAGTATGCACTTGAAAACGTTTTATTCCATTGTTATCATGTTCCTCCAAGAAATTCACAGTTGTATATTTGATCTGAACCGTATCTGCACTTATTTCCACTTTGAGGCTCTTATTCACCCGCCGAAAAAAATATGTTGGAGCATGATGATGCTGCTGGCATCAACGAGTATTCCCGCACGCATCAGACATCAGAAAGAGTTGCCCCTTATCCTCATAGAATGTCGTTAATCAACTGAGTTAACATGTGGAAAGAGATCCACAACAACTACTCAAACTTAGAAACCGAAGCAGAGGATTCTTCTTTTTCACGATTCTCACTAGCAAGCTCATTGTGAAATGAAAGTCCATTTGAGGCCCATCCACAAGTACTAGGAATAAATGTGTATGATTTGTACATATCGTAGCCATCTCCAAAATAAACTTGAGGATGGATGAATTGATAGGGCGAATCCGAATCCACTCAAAACTTTTTTTTTCTTGAAGAAGTTCGTCTGAATGAAAACCATTTTTCGACTCGATGTGTTTTGTCCTGTGTCATTCCAGTTCCTTCTCACGTACATTTATCTTTGTTCTTATTGTGGGGAAAAATCATAATAGGTGCCAAGTAGATATTTTCAGACGACATTCCACATGTCTGCGTGGAATATTCTTCGAAACTACTGCCTAAATGAAAGGCCTGAGAAGTTTTCCCAGCGCCGGAATTTTTCAACTGCTTCACTATCATCACTGCATTTTCCAGGCACAAAATGCCAGTTTCTTCATGAGTTTGTATTGTGCATGAAGAGACATTTAACATATATAATTATAGTGTGTGGTGTGCGAACGTTGAGAGACAATTTTAAATAAGGGCTTCCCTCCTCTTCAAGACAAGCTCGTTAAAAACAATTGAATTGCTGCAGGAAAAGCTTCTTCTGGGCATAATTGGTAATCTACTGGCATTTTTCGTGGGTTACTATGGGCGCAGCCATTTTGAAATGACGCATATATCGTCTGTCTATGATTGGAGTTATAATGGTATTAATCGTAGATACCCATCATAAACAAACGATTTGCAGTATATTTCTTTTAGCAACGAAGTAACTGATTTTAAAAATGACCTGCGAAAGAAGAAATGTACGGAATTGTGGGACAAGTCCGCTTCCACGACGGACGGTCCCTGCTGGAGCGGCTTTCAGGACCTCTCGCTTGCGACTACCGACCCTTAGTTCGTCGACAGGAATTGCTGTCCTGATGGACGTTATTGGACTATGGAACGGGACATTTCCCTCAGAGAAATGCAGGGACTCGAACCCAGACTTCCTGATTGCTGACCACAACACAACCCCAGGACATTCAGTTCCACTTATCCATCTTTCCATGACATACTCATCACTATATACTTGCCGTTCTTGCTTAAGTTTGGCCCCTCGACCTCAAGATTACGGAGACCCGACAGAGACATCAACGCGTGAGAATCAGATCAGAAATCAGAATTGGAACAACATTTTCGAGTATAGGATAAGAAATAACAAAGCCAGGACCGAGGCTAACATCAGGCCAACCGAAATACTGTTCGGTGAGCCAAGGCCATCTTTTCTGCAATGTTGTTAATGACAGGATCCGGCTCCCAATCTTGAACTCGACGCTGCCTCGTGATCTCAACAATGTCAAAAATAACCTTTGATCCAATCCGTGAACCTTACATCTTTTACTGTAAACCGTTCAATTCTGCTACACATTGCGAATGCCGACTGGTCGCTGCCATGCTAGCAACGCACTGCCAACTAGAATATGTGGCAATGACTTTAGTACTTTCCTGGGACGGGAGATGGCGAGAGCAGCGCGTGGAAGGAGGGAATAATTCCCATGTAATTGCAGAGTAAAATCGGAGTTGTGTCAGGAAAGGCTCTTTATACCCCCAAGACTGGAGAATGTGTACGTGGGAAGAGATAATGGACTTTGACGTAGAATGTATGGAGACATGAGTAATTTCAATGGAATTTCAAGCTAAGGTTCTCTGGACCTTTGACGTGGATAGACCCAACTATATCTTGTAAGGCTATTGTTTGACCAAGGCATTTTATACAGCTTCACCTCATACAGCATTGGTCACTCTAAACCCGCAATAAGACCAGTTTCAAGACCACATCTTCTCCCATCACATTTCCTATTTATATTCTCTTTATTCACCTTACCTTACCCTGAACACCTTATTTTGGGGTTACCTGAAGGAAATTCTTTTTTCAAATCGGTAACCACCGGATTGCAATCAGCTGAAGCTCAGCACTCACTGTGATATAATCATCACTGCACAAATACTTGGGTAGGTTACCTTCAAACTTGACTTCAAAGGGAGCGTTTTGAAGTCAAGCATGGCAAATGGATTATTGCCATTTTTTCCTGAATCGCAACAGTTTCATGGTTATCTTTCCTCTTAAGTACCATCTTTAAGAAATAAGATTGGCCTAAATGAAGCCTGAAAGGAAGTGATGTTACCAAGGGGTGTTGGAGTAAAATCTTGCTTGTGTAATGACGTCAACGAACCATTCCCAAATAAAAACGGGCGCTTTGGCCTTAACGACTCTACCTCGCTGGCCAAGACAGATCGCACACTCTTGTGTATCTCTCAGCCGTAATACAACCTACTCACGTTTTTCAGATCCACCTAGGCAGCATTGTACATACATTGCTGATCTGTTCGTTGATTTCGATATTCTTATGTTACTTAATTTCAATCACTCTCTTAATAGCAGTTGTTATGAAGGGCTGTGGCAAGGTTTGCATTGTCGCCTCCTGTAATAATAATTATTGGAATTGGCAGGCATAAAATATTTCCTACCATGAATTTCCAAAATGTCTAGACAAAAGAAATGAATGGCTTCATCCCTTGGAATAATATTTCAAAAGGTTTCAAGTTTTTTCAAGTAACAAATCCCCAGGTATGCTCTTGTGTGCTCGCATCCCTTCTTAGATCTTCAATGAAATATGTCACTATGATTCAGAAACCCGTCTACAAAGGTGTTTTCGCAAATACTCAATTGTGAAATAAGTTATCAAATGCAAGTACCCGCATATCCATCCATTGGCCATTAGGTCTCTTCATACGTACCAGAACTTTTTAGACTGAGATACTTGAACAGAGTTTGTGCATTGAGGATGAACTGGAATCGTTAGGAATTGTAGTGAAACATTTGGAATGAATGTGACGGAAAAATAATTTTCATGATAGCTCTGATCCAATGTGTGATGACCAGCAATCGAATTCACGAAACCCATCCCGAAAAGAAATAGACTTTCCGTATGTAGGACATTTTCACAAGTTTCCGATTTCGCGATGTCATGCTCTTGCATGTGTTCCCGTGCCACAGGCGCGCTTCGTCGCCCTGTCTACTTACACAGCATACCCTATATGGCGAACCGTTCCACTCCCAAAACGGGTTTCTGCGCAGATCTAAGAGGGGCCTCTCCGGCACCCCTCAGATGTTACACATCGAAAGTGAATCTTTTCGTCGATACTGGATATTTTATTTCTCAGTCATTGAAACATAACAATGAGCTCAAGGTGGAAAAAGAATGAAACGGTTATTTTTCTTCACGTCCAATATAATATATATATATATATATATCCGACTACTTAAGTCATGTTGAAATGTGCGCTTATATGAAATTAGTTTGCATTATCATTCAAAACGACGTGGGAGCGCATGAATACATTAACATTTCAATAAAAGTTGTGAAATAGGGGTATATATTGACTTCTTTACAGGGTTCATTATGTTTGCATCTCTGGTAACGTAATTTTGTTAATTTATTGGTTATTATACTTAACGTATTATATATAATCCGAACAACCCAAGTAACACGTGAGCGCTCAGGAAGACGTTCAACCCCGGCTCAAAGTGTTTCTTTGACTTTCAAAGGTCAGGGATGAGCAACTGTTGGACGCTCAATTAAGATGCCGTTTGATCACAAATACGTGGCGTTCTTGAAGGAAGTTCGTTGAATGTTGAAGAGGTGTTTTTCTTGAGAATAACTTAGATATCCATCTGATAGTGGCTAGAAACAAAGATTCTTACAACAGACGCCAGATGTCGCCAAAGTAGCCGCTATAGCGAGTCAATACTCCATACAGATGGAATTAGTCTCCGATACTTTCCTTGGAGTGCCGATCTATCCCCCACATACACCACAGTGGAAGACATTTGAATCCTTCAACAAATCGGTCTTATCAAGTTACCCAGTCCGAGGAGTCTCCAGAAAACTCTGGCCCAAAGGATGGAGGGAATACGGTTCGATTTCCAAGGTGATTTCATGGATTGCACATAAGTATGCATGAGAGAAAGTTAATCCCTATCATCTCTTCTCATGAGTCGTATCAAAGTTGGGAGCCTAGAGAGAATGAGTCTGCCTGAAAGCTATACTTTGTCCAACATTGACAGGGTCGCTACAAGCCTATATAAATATTACTATCGATCCTCCACCTAGCGTGCGCGCATCAACAACTCCTCCTTGGTCGAGCAGCAGACCCGATGAGAACCCATGCTAAGTTGAGGGATCCCTTTGGATCGAATCCCCGAACGAGTCGATTCCCTATTCCGCGGCCACGAAGCACGCCTCGTGGAAGTTCTGAACACTAGCCACTAGATGTCTCTGCAATACTTCGACCCTCCCCCCCTTTACCTCGGAGTGTCGCCTCTAGTTATACTCTACTCCATAGTGGCGAGCGCATAATTCTTGTTGTAGCGATAAGTTCTTTAGTAATGGAAAATTTTCAATTTCCTAACTCTTTTGCCACGTGCATCTCCGGCGCAGAGAATTGCTCATCTGAGAGATAGACCAGAAAGAATTCTGCGCTAAGATCGGGATGCTAACATTCCCAAATGCAGAAAGCAGTACTTCTTATTACAGTAACTTATTACGTGATTGCCTATTATCCCTTTCACGGGAGCAGATCTTTACTTGGGCCGAATGGAACCATTTGATGCTGTTTGGGAATATTCAATTTACGTCCTGGATGAACGTTCAGGGAACGTATAATTTCAACTGCTTTGATCGCTCTAATTCCGGACATTTGAAAAGTCAATGCACGTTCCCGAGGGCGTTTACGGAACGTCGGCAACACATTGAAAGAACCGTTCACTAAACATTCATTAAACGCTCTGGTGCTACCTGGGAAATATCTGGATCTTCAAATCAAGTACATCCTAACGATACTAAAACATTTTATTAGTATTTATTATCAATACCTTCAAGCACATAACATTTATTTCTATTCGCGACTTTCAATGGTGCAAACTGTCATTAATTATTCATATATCCTTTCTATTATTTCATATTCTCACACCAAGGGAATTAAGTGAGAATCACTGGGCATTCCGTGGAAGTGGAAATTCATCTGTGCATGTCATACCCAACCTATTGGACAGTGAAATGGGATAGTGGAGTTTTGTAATAGGAATATTGAGAGGTATGATAGGAATTCGGTATCCCCAGCGATTCCACTTTGGAGAAAAAGTGGAAGGAAAGGTACCCTTCTTTTTTCCCTCCAAAGTGATGATGAAGTTCATGAGAACTTTCAGCAATTTCACCGATTGCATCATGCGTTCGCGAGATGACAATAATCCAATAATCACCGAATTTCCTCTCCAGCCGAAACAAGCGGACCGTCCAGTCTGCATCCAAATCCAAGGAAGTCACTGCACTCGGCTCCCTCGCTTTTACTTTAACTCTTGAGTGCGAATAGACATGGATCACGTGCAGATCCTTCCTGTGCAAGCAGGCAAGCAGGTCGCTCTCGTTCTCAACTTGGCATCTGGGTATCTGGCAAGAGAAAATATTAGATAAGATCATGTTTATTCGAATATCTGCCACAGAGTGGCTTCGTTAAATAGGAAAATTAATTTCGACTTTTGGAAAGAGCCCTAGTAGGTGGAGAATTTTAGAGAACCATGTTCCTACTCATGACCTACACAAAATTCTGGTCCTTTTTGGAAACTTCTCTCCGAGCGTTGGACAACTTTGCAAGAAAGTATGGGGCATTTTTAGATGGTTTACTTTAAACTGAACTCATTCCCTACCACTGCAAAAGCATGTTTCCTTAGCCGGAGAAAAGTTTCACAGTCGTGGTGCCAAAAGGCAGCCTGTGCCTTGCCTTCAATGAAAGTGGACGTAGCTTTGCTCAGAACAGAAACCGTCTGCCTATTACACCCAATAAAAGTTTTATTGAGATAAAATTAATTCACAACATAACTTTTCACTACTATCGGCTAGATAACACGAAGAACAAGAGAAACGGAGTCCTCTGGAGTGAGACCGTCTTTAAAGCGCGTGAAGAAACAAGTGTGAGACTCGGTATATCCTCGGGAAAACTATGTAAATATATATTTATATGTGTTACTAAATAAATCACTTCATCGAAGCGGAAAAACAGGAATTGAGGTCGAGGTTTTATCGGTTGCACTTATTTCGGATTCCCCACTAATGGATGACTCCAGGACATGATTTGACATCGTCAGGGATCCGAATTTGTTATGATATTGACTCCTCACGTCACGTAATATTTCAGATGAGTAACCTGGAACTTCATATAGCCTTTTTCATTCCTGGTCGTTGCCATCAATCGGCGCCGGTAATTCGGCGCCGTTACTCTCATCATAACTCGAGTGATGCATGATTTTGACGTCATGGAAAGGTTTAAGTAGGGAATATTGTTTGCCGGGGAACAGACAATCGAACCCTCCAGACGGATCTATTCTAAACGAGGGTTTCCGTCATGGTTTATTCATGATAACATGAGGAAAACGTTTATCGTACTGGAAAATGCCCATTAGAAACATACAATCGACGGAGAATTTGCCCGGAGTATGAATAGAGCAATGGAATTATGAAATAACAATGTCATCATTGCGCAGCCATTTTCATTGTACTCGTATACTTTGGGATTTCCGAGCGATAGTCTATTCTCGATATTGCCTTTCATCTCCAAGTGGACAGGCACTGCAATTTTCCATAATTTGTCTCCATGAGATATTCTACGACCTTCTGCTTCGTTGTTCTCCTTGTTCCACCGCGACGTCCTTGAGAGTCAGAAGGAGCCGACGGAGAGAAAGAGCCAAACATACAGACCTTCGGGACAAATGAAATGCCGGTCTCATCAGGTCACTTTCTGGAAGCTATGGTGCGACTGTCTTCGAAATTCTCGTTGTAATATTCACTGGATAAGGCATGCATCTTCGCACTGTTTTTGATGTTGGGAAGGTTAATGAGGAAGGTCTCGCAACTAAAACCTGTATTTATTTTCGAACTTTATTCATCAAAAATTCATTGAGGAAAAAAATGTATTTTAAAGGGGAAAAGATGTTATCAAAGGCGCTTCACTAAGAATTGGGGCGCCTAGTTCATTCTGTAAACGCATCGATATCACCATTTCGTCCATTTTATATCCTAACATTAAGACATTAAGTAGAGGAAAAAAACATGGAGTTCTCTCAACGACATCTCCAAAGTCATTATAGGAGGTGCTTTTTGCAATAAAATAGGAACACACGAATCACTGTAGAGGGCAATACGCATGCCCGCAATTAAGGGAATATTAAGTCCCACGCGAGCGTAGTAAAGAGTCATGTAGACGAGCGTAGCTTCGATGGTACAAGTGGGGAAGCAAGTTGGTAGGCAGCGGGACAGGCGATGGGGAAAGGGGAAGCAATTTTTGTCGAACTCGGTTGTAGTCCTACCTTCAATTCACGGAGTTACTGTGAAGGTTACGAGTAGTGCAGCGTCATTCAGTTCTGCCCCCACCTCAGTCACACAGGTATTGTCTTTTCCTCGCATTGTGCATTAAGCTGAAAATCCATACTCGAAACTCACCACGTTATCCTTTCCGACCTTCATTTCTTTTAATCTCTCCCAACATTGATTTTCACAATACATGTTTTCCCTTTCGCGAGACGAGCAGTAGGTTTTTCTATGCCTTGAAACCCTCAGGTAACCTGTTTCTGACCATGTGACATTTGATCATGAGTCACGTAAGAGCTCCCTACTCCCATTTACCGCGAACACATTTAGGAGTGGAACTCCGCAAAATTAACAAAACTCACGTTTTGAGGGTTCCAGCGAAATTTTCAGTTGTAATGCATTTCATGCATGGTATTAAGGAGTCCCAGGTCAGCCGTGATGTCACAATGTGCAGTTACTATTTTACCATGTAATGATGCAGGTTCGAATAGATTGAAATACAGAAAGCGATTCAATTGTACCTGAGTCGGCGGCGAATCGAGCATTTGAGGTTGCATCGGCTTGTGAGCACGAAAGGCAGTTTCTGCCCACTTTGCGTGCGCCTGGGCAAGTTCCACCTTCCCCCTGGCGAATTGCCGTTGCATCTCCTCCACCTAAAATCACGAGCCTGCTATTTGTCTGCGATTTCCTTAAAGGAAATGCGGTTAATGGCGAAGGAGAATTGTTGGGAACGTGAGACCTGGACTTTGCTTTCCTTCATCTTCCTCGTGATTGTGCGTTTGATTCGCTGTATTTCTTCATGCATGGACAGATTTCCCCCGAAAACTCTGTGAAATTCCTTGTTGCCAGCCCTATACTTTGCTTCCATGCCCTTCTCTTTAGCCAGTGTCTCCTCGAGGTCTTTCGCCTTTTCCTTCTCTTCAGCCAATGCCTTCAACAGGTTCTCCAGCTTTCCGTGCATCTCTTCAACCTAAAATCAAGAGTCCCTCTATCACATTTGACCTTAAATTAAAAAAATATATAATATGAAAGAAAATTTGGCAGAATGAGAGACATGCGCTCTGCCTTCTTCGAATTCGTCTTCGATCATGTCCTCGTTTCGCTCTTTATCTTGACGCGCCGTTTCATCTTTCTCGAGTTGCTTTTCAAGTTCTTCGATTCTGGCCTCGTGCTTGGTCTTCAGCTCCTTCTCTCTAGCCAGTGCCTCTGACATTTCCTCCATTCGTTTTTCCAGCGCCGCCTTCTCATCCACCAGCTGCATGTGATAGATTCATTTTCATGAACTATTCCGCATAGCAATTACCCGAAGATACATGGCATTGAAATATACTTGTAAGATTCTAGTTCCTTCAAAAGGTATGGACGAGAAATGTGGATGGTGACTTGTAACAATCTTCTTTGTTTGGTCATAACATTTTAAGGAATAGGCAGATGCAGCTGATGTTTGACAGAGATGTTAATGGGTGTATGACTAATTCCTTCCCCTGTCCGGCACATGTTTTTACATCTTGACAGGGGGCGCTGTGATTGCATATGCGAAGGTGAAATGTGAAGGAGTTCTGCTTGCAGAGTTTCTATTTTGGTATTACTTAGTAACAGCATATCAATGTGAGACGTCGCTGCAATAATAACTTCACCATATTTTGCCGGGAGTGGTGGGAATGCTGGACATATTCTTTTTATTGTAGCATATTCTTATTCTCCATCTCTTATCCCTTATACCTTATATATTTTTTCATCACGGTGCCACCTGTTAACAAGTAAAAATAAAATAGGGGGTGACGCCCGACACGTCATTCTGTCCCTTGCTGGAAAGAATGAATTGCATTGTTCAAATACTAAACACGAGTTCTGATCTAGTGAAGGAAGGTACAACCTCAGAAGGACCCTTCCGTGAAATAACAACACTCATTAGAGTACTATCAAGCTCTAATTAATATTTGCACCCTTGAAGGCTCAAAAAAGGGTAGGCAAAGTCTAAACAATGACAATTCAACGCTGGCACAACGGGACCCATGATGGTATGAACGCATCCACAAAAATGAATCTTACAAATGACTCGTATTTATGCCCAAATTTTCTACCTTTTTTTTTGGGGGGGGGGGAAGTCTAGCAATTAAGTCGGACCACAGGACATGATTTTGGTAGGTCTCAGAGGCGGACATCTATGTCATCATCATGAAACAACTTCAGTTTGGTCTTCTCTTTCATGTCAATTAGATGCCAATTAATGATGTAAAATGCTTGATTGTGCCACCACAAGTTCGGTTTGGAAAATGGCTTTTGAGCATATCTCCTTTTTCGGTGCCTTTCCTTTCCTATTCTTAAATCTGTCACGAATGTCGTGTCCAGAAATCCGTATATGAATTATTGTAATATATTTCAAATTGCATTTATTTATGACGTGGAGTCCAAATCTTATCGGCAGTGTTTGCGTAGAATTTGAGAATCAGCTTGAAAGTCAGGTGTTTAAGTGTCTGCGTCCGCACGTTTAGACATATTCACCCTCAAGCTTGAATTTCTCAAGAACGCGGGCAAGTATCTTGAATTTTCAAACGTCAAACTATTAGCGACGACCAAGATTCTTATATTATTATTTCTCTCCGTGACTTCCTTTGAGGGAATGACGAAGAGAATGACGGACGCTAATTCTATTTTCCGCTTATGGTTTCAACCTGAAACTTGGTACACGAGTAGCAACGGGTTGTTCACATTTTAAATGCATTTTTCTGAACTCAAATAAAAGGTTTATTGAAATATTTATTCACGAATCAGATACATACATACTTTTCTACTGATTATCTTCAGATTCTTTTCTGGCTTACTGCAACTTTATATGTTCGCCTGATGTGACTTCGTGGAAATCCGAAATTGGTGAATAAAAAATAAAAACATACATGCTTTAAATATGATTGGATAAAAATATGACTGCCTATTGCAAGTTACAAGTGAAAAGGTGAACAATTTCAACTTCATCCTGGTAAACTTCATGAAATACGCTAATCATTGTTTTCCCCATATGTATTGTTTTCGTCCCTCTGTCGAGCCACTAAAAGCACATACAGGAGATGTAATAGTACCAAACCTCGAAGGCACGCAGCTTCGAAAATGTCGTATTGTGCGACTTTAAAATGACATGCACGTATCTCTCCACATTGTCATGAGAGTTATAAAGGTCCAAGGTTCTAAACATCGATATTCACAGGAAAAAAGCACTTGGAGAAAGGAAGAGGAAGATGTTCAATAGGCGATTCCTTTGAGAAAACGGAGTTTTCTTCGCTACTAATGGCTCACCTAGTTGTCTCATAATCTTTCCTGATTTCAAACGGAAAACGTGACTGGATTAATTTTTCGAGAAAGCATTAGTGAAGACCTCACATATCATCGAGAAGTAGACTCATAGGCATGCAGGTAATAGGGGAGAAATCTTGGTCGTCACTAATAGGTCGACGTTCGAAAAATCATGACATTTCCCTGCGTTAATGAGAAATTCATGCTTGAAGTTGTATATGCGTATAAACACGCGCGTGCAGACACATATACACCTGACTTTCAAGCTGATTTAAGCTTTCGAGAAAAAAAAAACCAATATGCATTTTTTTGGTTTAACGCTTAAGGAGGTACTCTGCCGTAGTAGTCGCTTGTTCCACCGCTAGAAAGCAACACCGCACAGATTATGTGACATTGAGTCCATTGCATACACCAAAAGTTTCGAGGTACCATGGCTAAAAAGCCATCATCATCACCAAAATTTTGCGTGAAACGGTTAACGAAGAGCGAAAATTGACCCAAATCTTTTTTTCTGATGATCATCGATTCAAGCTGGAATTTAGATGGTGTGATATTTCGGAGTCTTGAAGTAGATTTTATGAGGAGGTACTGCATCTTGCTTGAGTTTAATTTCAGGTGATTTGAGTTATGGTAGTTTTGTAGGTTCCCTCATAATCATATCCATTCTTCTCTTTAGGGTGTCAACATTTGATGAAGTCGCTGATACGAGGATCAGGACATTACCCACGAAATTGATTATGTTTCCATCTCTAAGAAAGGTCATGAAGGTCAAAGATCATTGTTATCAAGTAGAAAGAATTTAGGACATGGAAGGATACCTTTAGGGACACCGTTGTTAAGTAGGTTAGGAAGCAGTGACAATATGTTCACGATTTGTTTTCTTCCGTGAATGTAGCTTGTGAACCAGGTGTTGTCCATTCCATGCAAGCAGAGTTAAATATCGTGGCTAACACAAATGCCTCAGAATGTAGAGCTCGTTGAGAAACTAATCCACTCCAAATTGTTACTTCCTTGGTTAAGTGCTTTTGATGAACAGGAATGAATATTGCTGAAAAGTTCAGATTTCTGATCTGGTCATCACCTAAGTGTCTATAGGTTTTGTTCTGATTAATACAATATATGAAATTAGACAGATTAAACAAATTAGTATCACTTTCAAGCTCCTTTTGCATATTTGATGATGTGCGTATTGATCAAGTTTACTGGGATGAGATTGAAATTGTTTACCTTCGACTTGTAACTTTGAATACGCAATTATATTTTTTCATCTAAAACATGCATGTTTTCATTGTTGATTCACCAATTTCGGACTTCCACGAAGCATATGAGGCGAACAGACAGTATAATGTTGCAGTAAGCCATGAAAGAATCTGAAGCTAATCAGTATGGATGCCACTGATTCGTGCAGTACTTTTTGAATAAACCTTTCATATGATATTGAGAGATTTTCTTAAGAAGATCCAGATACATTTAAAATGTGAGCAACCCTATAGCTATTTGTGCGCCAAATCTGAAGGTACGGCTTCATTTCATGCTTCAATTAAGTTGAATTGTGGAATCAGGAGGTGATTTTTGAAGCCGTGACATTTAGAAGCCATGCGTCAAGGGCAAGCGTTCCTTACTTTAGGCTTAATCTCCTTAGAGCTAAAAAGAGGTTTATTTAAATAATTTTTTTTAAACATATCCTAGTTCCTGTCTCCCTAGTCCCTTTCGTCTATGTTGTCCACTTCTTTCTTCGTCCATAAAAGCATCCTATTTTTTTTTAATAGCCACGGGACAGCCACTACGTCATCATCTGGCGCTTTCCACGCTTTCACCACCCAACAAATAAATAAGTCCTGTCTCGACCTCAGCCGCATCTGCGGTTGACGCAAATTGAGTTGATTACTTCTCGTTCTCTTGTTGCCTTCGAACTGGAAGAACGCACCAGATTCTACGTTCTTGAAAGCCTGGATGAGATCGCCCCTCCATACCCTTCTCTCAAGCGAGTACAGTCCCAACGCTTCCAAGCGCTTCTCGTACGGAAGTCCCCTGACCTCATTGAGTCATTCCATTGAAAATAGGTCAACAATTTCGCAAATTAACACCCGACCATTTCATTTTGATTCACCAATTTCGGACTTCCACGAAGTCACATTAAGGGAACATATAACGTTGCAGTAAGCCAGAAAAGAATCTGAAGATAATCAGTAGAAAAGTATGTATGCATCTAATACTTGAAGAACTATTTGAATAAACCTTTCACTTGAGGTCAAAAAAATGAATTTAAAAAGTGAACAACCCGATCGCAATTGTGTGCCAAGTTTCAGGTTTAAACCATAAGTAGAAAACAGAATTAGCGTCAGTCACTTTCTTCGTCATTCACTAACACTCACGGAGTCACGGAGAGAAATAATAATAATAATAATAAATAAATAATAATAAATCTTGGTCGTTGCTAATAGGTCAACGTTCGAAAAATCATAATATTTCCCCGTGTTCTTGAGAAATGCAAGCCTGAAGGTGGATATGTCTATAAACGCGCGGGCGCAGACACGTAAACACCTGACTTTCAAGCTGATTTTCAAATTCTATGCGAACGCTGCCAGTAAGATTTGGACGCCACGTTATAAGGATGCATAAATGGAAATATAATAACTCATACATGTATTTCTGAACCGGAATTCATGAGACACGGAACAGTACAAAGGCTGATTTTCACCTGAATGTACTTATTGTTACACTTTTCAGGAGAAGGTCCACTCCTTACTGTTCAACGGAGTATCTGCGAATTCAGTCCCTGATTTCCTCGTCATGTCCTCAGGATGAGGAAACAGAGAATTGAGTCCATGGATATTCCATGCTCTAATGCTCCTTTCGGAAATGGTCGCCATGTTTTCATAAAGGGTTCTCATATTCCCTACGAGAACATTTCATGGAAATTGCGGGAGCCAATATTTAGTCAATATTGGTAATATTGCCCAAGATATA